ACCATAGGGGACTGTGTTGTTTCAGTCCTCATTCACACACGTGCACACTGCCACCCCTCCACCCCAGACCTGAGCCTGATTAGGACTGGGAAAGCTTTGTTGTAAAGAAGAGAGCTGTTTATTATCCCTAAGAAAGGAGCAAGACCAGTTCCCTATATTAACACATCTAGACTCAGGCCTGTGGGTAGACAGGAAATTTTCTGCCTCTTTTTCCTGCTTTGTGTCATATATTGCCCCTCCTTCTCATCCAAAGTACCAACTGTACCGAGGAAAAGTTAAGTTTTAACCTGTGGCAAAGTCCATGGCTCCTTAGCCAGGTACAACCTCCTGTCACCTCTAGCACAGCTGTCTCCCCCTAGCCAGGCACATCGTGTGTTTGCTCAGAGCCCTGAGGACCCCCAGGCCTCATTCATCCCTGAGCAGTGTGTCTTTTGAATTTCATCACCACCAGGAACCAGTGCTCAGCCTGTTGACCGGGACAGGCCCTCCTGATACTTGTATAGCTCATGAGCACCTGGGCACCAAGCCCAGCATCCAGACATGTGCTTTGCTAAGGAACAACAGAAAGAGAGAAGAATGGATGCCAGTGAGAAGCAGCAGGACCTTGTCAGTGCAGACCTAGATGTAGAACGGAAGCCAGGTAACTCATGGAGAAATAGGAGTGACCATAGAGGGGCCAGGGCCTGCATTTTGGTTGTTGATTGGGGAAGGGAGGGGGGGAACCCTAACACTGTTGAAACTCTTGAATGACTGATCTCAGAAGATAAGTGCAACTGCCTGGGGACAAAGAAGAGAATAATGCTGAGACTGGGGCAAATGGTATCACATGTGTAGTGGAGGGTAATATGTCAGCAGGGAATATGCTTGGCTCTGTTCAGCTCACAGTGAGAAACCTTGTGGGGTGGCAGCAATGAAGTTCAAAGAGCATAACTTTCATCTCTGTATCCAGCCCAGCATTTTCAGACTGAGTAAGAGCAGGTGCTAGGGGGTAAAAAAACCCCAAAATTGCAGGTGTGAACCCACTGCAAAAAAGGGTTGGTGTCTGCAAGGGTGGAGGCAGCTGGTAGACAGGATTTGAACTCCTGTGGCCGTACAGCCCTGGGTCCTGTTTTTTCTGTGTGAGGGGAGGAGGGCTGCTTGTTTCTGACATAAATGTGACCCTCCACATGTACCAGTGTTTTCTAAGTCTGTGCATGGACAGAAAACAGCTCTTGCAGCCTCAGATGGGCTTGTTCATAGGGAGCTCTTCACCCAACCCATTGGCAGGACTCTTGCCTGGTTGCCAGACTATCCAGATGTCCCCAAGTCAAGGGGAGCAGGCCTCCCAACCCAGAGTGTTGAGATGTAGGTCATGGGCACCTTGGAAGGTGCAGTTTGGGGAGTGCATCATGGTTATGGGAATGTGTGTTTTCATCATTCCCCCACTTAAAGCTTCTAGGGCTTGTCAGTCTTCAGCAAGACAGCTGGATTGTCTGAAGCCTGATGAGCCTTCTTTGGGGTCTGCTGAGCCTGGCTGTGGTGGTAAGAGCACAAGTAGGATGAGTGTTTCCCGTGTGTAAGGGGCTGGAACTTACATGTCTGTCATGGAGGACATGCTGGCTGCATTTGGGGTTTGGCCCTCTGTGTCTCTTTGTGGGTTTCTGCCCTGTGCACTCCAGGAACATCAAAGGCTTTTTCTCTCCCAGGTTATGTTTCTGTCAGAGGTCTCAGAGCACTGTCTGGGTGCAGGGTGGAGGTGACAGTAGTGTTGATACTGGTGGTTCTAGGTCTGACAGCTGCTGTTTCTGCTTTGGCAGGTGAGTGCTGGTCCCCGGTGCTGTTCCATCATGCTGGTCCCTGGTGGTTGTTTCCTCTTCTTCATGCCCTCTCCTTGCTGGATGTATCTATGGAATCAGGGCACCTCCTCAGACTAGGGTCTGGCTACCATATCCAAGCACTGGGTGGTTTAGGGACACAGCTTTTAGCTGTCTCCCTGCTCCCAGGCTCACAGTAATGCTGCAGCAGATGGGGTCCTGGCCATCAGAGTATCACTGGGAGTCAGACTATGATCTGTGATTCTACCATAACCCCTACAGTCCCATTTCTGATGTTCCCTTTGCCCCCTCCCATGACCAGGCTGTAGCTGCATGAAGCTGCCAAGAATTATATCCGATACCTGGATATGGGGAAAGCTTCCACCACCTGAGGCAAGGCAGGGGAATGGTGATATCCTTACCCTCTTGCTTTCTCAGTTTCAGGTCTGACAAGTCACTCTCAGCAACAATGCCCTGCCTGGTGTCCAGCAGGCTGGATTGGGTATCAAAGGAAATGCTATTACTTCTCAGAGATCGAAAAGTCCTGGAATGAGAGCCAGAGACACTGCTCTTCTCTTGGGGCCTCCCTGGCTATGATTGACAGCCAAGAGGACCTGGTAAGAACCAAAGAATCTGTGATCTTCAAGGCAGTCTGGGTGCATACACATATACTAAGTCAACTTAAAATAAGGTGACTTGACTAAGGCAATTTAACTAAATTGACTTAAGTTAATCCATGTTGGAGCCTACACATGTTCAGCTTCTTGACATGGTGGCAGCCATCTTGTGAGCAAAGTTGACTTAACTAAAACAACATCCTGACAGTTAAGTCAACTTTAAAAAGTTAAGTTGGCTTAAGTGTCCGAACATTAGTACATATGTACATACCATCAGGGGTTCCGATGGGTCTGAGATGAAGTTCTTGGTCTGCAACTCACCACCTCCAGCCCAGCAGGGCCATCTCCCTGAGCTTAAAGACCATTGGGACAGGAAATAGATTTCATAGACATCAGGGCTGGAAGGGACCTCGGAAGATCATCGAGTCCAGCCCCCCGCCCAAAGGGCAGGAAGTCAGCTGGGGTCATAGGATCCCAGCAAGATAAGCATCCAGTTTCATCTTGAAGGTGTTCAGTGAAGGCGCTTGAACCACCTCCGGTGGCAGGCTGTTCCAGACCTTGGGGGCTCGGACAGTAAAGAAGTTCTTCCTTATGTCCAGCCTGAAATGGTCTTGTAATAGTTTATGACCATTCAACCTCATCATTCCTAGGGGCGCTCCGGTGAACAAACCTTCTCCCAGATACTGGTGGTCACCCCTGATAAACTTGTAGGTGGCCATCAGATCACCCCTGAGCCTGCGCTTTTCCAGGCTAAAGAGCCCCAGGGCTCTCAGCCTGTCATTGTAGGGTCTGCTTCCCTGGCCTCTGATCATGCGCGTGGCTCTTCTCTGGACTCTCTCAAGCTTCTCCACATCCTTTTTGAATTGTGGAGCCCAAAACTGGACACAGTACTCCAGCTGCGGCCTCACTAAGGCCGAGTACAAGGGGAGAATGACGTCCCGGGATTTGCTTGAGAAGCATCTATGGATGCAAGCCAGCGTTTTGGTCGCTTTACTAGCCGCCGCATCGCATTGCAGGCTCATGTTCATCTTGTGGTCAATGATGACCCCCAAGTCTCTGTCTTCCATAGTGCTAACCAACATAGCACTGCCGAGCCTATAAGGATGCTGCGGGTTTTTTTTCCCAAGGTGGAGAACCTTGCATTTATCGGCGTTGAACACCATCAGATTCTTGTCCGCCCACTTGCTGAGCCTGTCCAGGTCAGCCTGGATAACCTGCCTGTCTTCTGGTGTGGTGCTTTGCGTCCACACCAGTCCAGGAAATGGGACTGTTGACAGGTGCTGTCTGAGACTGGTGAAAAATAACCCCCAAGAGCTCAGAACCATGACACTGGGATTCCATGCGTCTGTAAATGAGAGAACTGATTCTGTCTCAGGCAAGCTGAACAGTGCAAAGTAGAATCATGGAATATGCCTGAAGGCACTTTTGAAATGATGCTGGGCCCCAAACCAGCACTGTCCCAAGGCTGGGGTTTGGTTTTTTTCGTTTCTTTCATTTTGTTGAACTGGTGATGATACAGTCTCTAAGTGGGTGCGTGGGTTTTGTTTTTCCTACTGGGCCCCTGATTCATACCAAACACAGGAATGAAGAGCAAAGAATGAGCCAGGGCTGTGTAAGAAGTTTGATTGAGGGCCAAAACAACTAGCTGCATTTGTTATCCTACTTACATGGCTGCTGTAATGGAGATGCAGCTCTCCTGAAGGCTGTATGGTGCAGGCCCATGGGAGATTTTGATTCAGTTCCTATCTCCGCTTTAACTGTAACCGGGGAAATCTACCCGGGAACATGACCCCGTGCTGCCTGGTGCCTTGTGACCAGCCCATGTGGAGTCAGATGCTTTTAATTTTTTTTTTATTTTAAAGGCCTTCATGATGAGGTATAAAGGCATCGCTGAGCACTGGGTTGGCCTGTGGAGGGGGAATGAGGGACAGCCATGGAAGTGGACAAATGGCACCGGATTCAGTCACAGGTGAGACTTTCTCAGCCCATTCTGGTTTTGAGCCCTGTGGGGTGGGTGATGGGTTTAGTGAGACCCAACATCCCCTACTTTGAATGAAAAATACCGATAGTGATTGACATTAGTGTCCTCTCCAGTGGCTGAAGCTGTCTCCCATTTGCTCAGATCTGGATCTGTGCTCAGTAGGACTGGAGACACTGCCTCAGGAGATAGGATGTCAGCACCAGAGCAAGACCAAAACTGTCCATCCAAATGGGAAAATATGTTTTCAACAAAACAAGGCTTTGCAAAAACTGAGTTTTGTGTAGAAGGCAGAAATGCACCTTATAGACTGTATCATCTGCCTGATTTCAGACCAACATGGCTGAGTACCTCTTTCATTCCTGTAAATGTTTTGGAGGTCAAAGCACTCCAAAAATTAAATGTTTCCATTGGAGGCTCTGTTTTGATACCTCCTATGGTTTGGTTTCCTCATGTCCCCATTCTCTTTTGTCCACTATGTCCCCCATGATGCACCATGGCCAGACACTCCATGAAGTGCAATCTCTCATCAGCAACATGGTGCATAGGGAGAAATGTAGCCGAGCCATTGAGTCATCCAGTAAAGCAACAAGAAAGCATGAGGCTTGTGCACTGCAACTCCTGTGCACCAGCAGAGCTCCATTCCAGATAAATATTTGGGGGTTTGATTTCATTGTGAAGAAACATGTTCTCGGGCCAAACTTGAATGAGGTCTCACGCCCTTCAGGGCAGAGGCAAAGGGATTGTTTTGGTCCAAGGGCTGCATGTTGGACATTTGTTGTGTTAGGCTAAGAGAAAGTTTCTCCAGAAAGAGTGATCTGGAGTTGGACTGTTCTTGGTGGTGGAGGATGACAGCATGAATGACACGTGCCCCCGGAGGCTGGGGGGGCACAGCGACTGCCCGCAGGTGGCAGTGACAGTGCCAACAGTGGGGGTATGGCAGTGGGGAGCTCCCACAGGTGGCCACAGTGGCGACCACCCACAGATTCCACTGACGATCGGTGACCGCTCGCAGATGCTGCCAGCAGTGTTGGCAATGAGGGTGGGGCGGGTGGCAAGCAGACACCATCAGCAGTGGCATCAGTGGCTAATCACAGGGGGTGCACCGCCAATCTCAGGATGTGCATGTGCACCCATGTGAACTCCCTGTGCATCACCAATGGATGATGGAACAAGGAACAATAGTCTCCAGTTGCAGCAAGGGAGTTTTAAGTTGTATATTAGGAAAAGCTTTCTCACTAGGAAGGTGGTGAATAGGCCTGTGCAAGTCGGCAGCGATCCAATCTGGCTTTGGATCCAGCTGTTTTGAATGGCCGTGATCCAATCCAGAGCTCCAGACCAGGTTTCCACCTTGATCCGGCCGAAGTGACTCCAAAGCTTCGGAGCCACCTTGGAGATCTGGCCATAGTGTATAATGGGGAATCAATGACATATCTGTAACTTTGTTGTTTCTTGTCCAATTTGGATGAAACTTGTAGAGATGGTAGGTTCTGATGAGAGCATAAAACATGCCAAGTTTCAAGAAGATCGGTGCAGGGCTTTGGTGGAAACTGTACCCCAAATTCTTGAAAGCCAAACTCATGTCACGACTGTGTGTCACACCACAGGGGGGTGAAAATTGCAGGGCTGGTAGCTCTTACTGAGGCCACAAAGCATGCCAAGTTTTAAGGGGATAGGTGCAGGGGTTGGGGGGAACTGCCCCTCAAGCTGTGGACAAGCAAAACTCATGCCATGGGTGACCCTGCGTGTGCTAAGGCGCAGCGGGGTGACAGCGCAGGGATGGTGGCTCCTGCTGTGACGCCTGCCAGCTATCGAGGAGATCAGTGCAGGGGGGTCCTGGGGGCCCTGCATCCCTAGCTGTTGACAGACAAAACTCCTGCCAAGACTGTGTCTGTGTTGGGGCAGTTGATTGTCTGTATTGAGTCTTTCCTCTCCTTAGCCTGGTTTTGTAGGTGCTAATTGCTGCTCATTAAGTCATTATGTAGTAGCTAGGTCCTGTGTATTGAACTGGTCCCTGGTCCCCGAGTGAATCATGATTGATTGATGGGTAAGTGGGAACACAGCAGCTGAGCAGCCAGGCCTGCAGCGGTGTCTCCCCTCCCGCCCCAGGACAGACACAGCCAGGCCCACAGCACCCATGGCACCAGCTGTGCTTGTCCGCAGCTTGAGGGGCACTTCCCCCCAAGCCCCTTCACCGATCTTCTTGAAACTTGGCAGGCTTTGTGGCCCCAGGAAGAGCTACCAGCCCTGCAGCTTTCACCCTGCTACGTTGTAACGCCTAGATGTGACATGAGTTTTGCTTTCAAGAATTTGGGGTGCTGTTACCCCCCAAGATCCTGCACCGATCTTCATGACACTTGGCAAGTTTTATGCTCTCTGCAGAGTCTATCGCTCCTGAAAATTTTGTCCAAATCAGACAAAAAACAACAAAGTTATAGATATTTTATTGTTTCCCCCCTCTCCCCTATGGTTGGATCTCTGAGGCGGCTCCGAACCGCTTTGGGAAGCCGAACGTGGCAGCGCTTCGACCCGGACGTGTTGCTTCGGACCCCGAAGTGTCCGCAGCTTCTCCGGATCTGAAGCGCTGTCCGAAGCCTTGCACAGCCCTAGTGGTGAAGCACTGGAACAAGTTACCCGGAGAGGTGGTGCAATCGCCATTCTTCGAGGTTTTTAAGACCCGTGTAGAAAAAGCCTTGGCTGGGACGATCTGCTTGGGGCTGATTCTGCTTTGAGCAGGGGGCTGGACTAGATGTGACCAACCCTCACTTTCTAGGATTCTATAATTGGAAGTCTTGGGAGGAGAAAAAGTGAAGTCCCCTACAAAGGATCACAGTGTTTGCCTATCAGGCTTTCTGAGGTGGACACAAAATGCCCCCCAGTCTTCACAGAAAGCAGAGTCCTTTTTCTGTGGAAGAGGCAGTGCAGTTAACAGTCAGAGTGAAAGTGTCAGAAATAAGCCCCCCTGCCCCCGGCAGGAGATTAACTTCCTGACTCTCTGCCTCATGTGGCCACTTCGAGGAATCGTGTTCCCCCGGGAAGTGGGACTGGGCCAGATCCTGTTCAATCCCATCCCAGATGTGGGAGAATAGGCCTCATCAGACTGATCTATCAAATCCAGTGTCCTGTGCATGGCAGTGACCTCCACCAGAAGCAGTGTGAGACATCCACCACACACTGCAATGGCATCTCTGAGGGAACCTGTCCTCTCACATTAGTAAGAGATCCAGTGATCCATCTTGGGGCTGTCAGAGGCTTTCTCTTCCTCTGGGACTACCAAGAGAGGCCTGTCTGTTGGCTGACAACCATGTCATCATCTCCCATTTCAGGTTTCCTATACGAGGAGGGGGTGGCTGTGCATACCTGAATGACAAGGCGGTCAGCTCCTCAAGGTGCACCACCGAGAGGCACTGGGTCTGCAGCCTCCAGAGCACACGCACAGCAGATCTGGAAGATACTACACAAGGGAGCCAGGTGCTGAAACACCTCTGACATCTGTTCACAAGGTGATAGTGAAGAAACCATCCCATGTACAACTTGCCCCAAGTGTAAATCACACGCAAGGCTGTGGGACCCATCTATAAAATTAATTAGGTTCATCAGCACTCGTCCAGAGAAGACAAGACAGGGGGAATTTGATAGCAACATTTACTACCTGAAGGATGGTCCAAAGAAGATAGAGTGAGACTTTTTTCAATGGTGGCAGATACAGAACAAGGAGCAATGGGCTTAAGTTGCAGCAAGGGAGGTTTAGGTTGAATATTAGGGGGAAAAAACTTTCTCACTAGTGTGGTGGTGAAGCACTAAAATGGGTTACCTAGAGAAGTGGTGTAATCCTCATCCTTGGGGGTTTTGAAGACCCAGCTAGACAAAGCCTTGGGTGGGATGCTGTCGCTGGTGCTGATCTGCTTTGAGCAGGGGGTTAGACTACATGTGACCCCTTCCAACACTCATTTTCTATGATTATAAAATGAGATATTCATTGCTGCCTTCCAGCTCAATAATGCCTTTGTGTTATGGATCAGAAGGGCCTGAGTACAGGGACATGTTACCACAGAGCTGCGTCTACTGCATTGGGTCATGTCACTCACTCCCACTGTTGTCCTAAGCTAGAGCCATTATGTGCTCTGTTTTGGGGATCCCTCTTTTTAGAGCCATTTTAAAGTGCATTTCCTCCTCTCAGGCCAGGTGCTGCAGCCAAACTAATACAGCTTGGCACAGGCACCTAGGAAATGGCCATACCTGGCAAAAAAACCATGAGAGAAACAGGAGTGTGGCAGAATACCATCTCTGTCTGTCCCCAGACTCTGCTATCTGACAATCTCGTTACCATGGTCACTGCAGAGGGCGGACACCATCAGCTTCATGTAACCCTGAGTTGTAACCTGAGCTGGACACATTCCTGAGGGAGGGGAGAAACCTGCTTCCTCTGCCTCGTGACTGGCATCACACAGCTGGGTGAGGGGCTTGGGCTCCCTATTGTTCTAAGCAATGCCAACCTGACTGGGAGGGGGCTAGAGACCCTGCCAGTCTACCCAGCAAC